CAACAGCAGCAATAGAAACTTAGTGACTCTTAACTATAAACTCTTTCCTAGAGCAGAAATACAGATGAATTGATCATCTGTTAAAACAAAAGCATGGACGTGAAAAAATAGCAGAGTTATTGAAATTATCTGAGGTATCTTTTTCTGCTGGAGCAGGAGACTCGTTTTTTACAGACTCTAATTCTGTTACAATCAAATGTTGATTTGTGAAAATCTGCACAACTGAGATGAATACCTTAGGGTAAACAAAAATCTGAACACAGAAACAAGATCAAATAGCCAACTCCCTGTTAAACTTCACATTCTCACCAATAGCTCTACACGTTTCATTTCAAACTATCAGAAATAGAAAACCAGTTAAAATGGGGGAAAACAAATACTAGGGAATGTAGGCACATTTAAGATTAAAAGTAGAAAATACAGGAGATATTACAATGGCAAGAGTTGGTTACACAAGAAAAAAAATGGTGTTTTCATCTTACTTTGCTTTGAAATAAGAAGCTGATCTCTTCTATAACCCTGTGTGAGCAGCAGCTGCACAGGCGCCTAAGGAAGGAAAAGTTCCCCGTGATTTACTGATGTCCTGAACAGTAGCACTTTACTAATAGTATCTGATTCTTTAATAAAAATACTTTTTTTTTTTAAACTAGGAAAATACAGGTTTTATTCCTGAAGCACTTCCACCACTGAAAGTGTTGAGGTGAAAATTAAAGCACGTTAAACTACTTTTGCGCAATAAATCAGAAAGGAGAAACAGTGTGAGGCATAACCATGACATACTGACAGCGTGTCAGGTATTTTTTAGCTATGCTCTTCAAAACAGAGGAAGAAGGATTTTTAAAAATTAGAATAAAGCAGTCTTTTCTCAATTCCTGTCCTCCAATGTGTTAAATAATTCAGAGTCCGACTCTTCCCTTACAGAGTACAGGCACGACCGATGCATCCCCACGTGAGGTGTTATTTTTGCAAAGCCCTGAAAACTCTCATTCATTTTAATTGAAGAATTATCCCACACCACCAGTCTCTGCAATGATTTTCACTTTACATAAACACAGTTCATGGAGAAATTGTTACTAGAAACCCACATCAGGAAGCAAACGATCTCTCATCGTGAGCCTGCTGCTGCCCAGGCTGGTCTCACCTCTGGCTTTGGGCACTTGCTGGTGCTCCCTTGGATGGGCTTGGCCATGAATTGGTCTTGGAGAGCAGACCTCAGCATGTTGCACCTTAAGAAAAAATTACCACCAGTAAACATAGAAAATATCCCATCTTACTCTCCAAAGGGTCCAAATTTAGCCAGTCTTTAGCATTTAAATTCACTTTTCCTTGTCTTCCCAGTATAATCTTATTGCTGCAGCTAAAATCTGGGGGTGTTTTTAATCAAACTTGGCATTTTAAAACAAGGAGTGCCACAGCCCAGTTCTTTAATAAACCCCACTGATATGGACCCTTCAATCCCTTGTAGCATTCAGGGAAATCTGTGCTCACAGATCACGTTGCAGGGCAGGGGACTCAAAGGCTAATCTCTCTCTGTACTCGTCCTTTTCCTACTTGCATGGGGAGAAAAGTGTGAAGAAAACATATAATTTCAGAGCATTGTTATAGCATTAAACCACAGCTTCAAACCCCGTATATTGCCCTTATTAGCCATAATCTTGCAGAGGGTATTAAAGTAAATGGTAAATGGTTTAATGGCAGTTTAATATTCTGCACATACCCATAACAGACATTTTAGTTGTTTTTAATTGATGTAGCTACTAGCTTTGTTAAACTCTCCAGGAGAGTAGTTCTCACTGGGAACGAGCCTCCTAGAAAGTATCAGTTTGCGAAAACACAATAGTTTGAGTGATAATTGTGCAGAAAGAGACTTCTGGATTTCTTTGCAGTTGAATAAGAGTGTTTTGTTTCACTTTTGTATAACTCAACATCGGGTGCCTAAATTATAGTCAAACTTTCCAAACAGCTAAAGAAAGAAATACATGGGTTAAGTCACTTTTGAGATAAAACGAGCGCTGGAAGATTTTAACTAAACAGAACAGTTTTATGGCTGTGATCATATTAAAAAAAAGATGTAGGAGTCCTGGTGTTACTTAAACAGTACCTTTCATCACTCATAAAAGATGCATTATTAAATTATTTTCCACTTATAAATCAACTAACCCTGGTCTATACATTAGCACTAGCTTTAGCTGGTTTCTGGCTTCTTACTGCCCTTCACATAACTCCACCTAACTCAAAGGAAATGCCTCTGGCATGGCACTGAACTCCAACTTTCACAACTAAATATATATATAAACTCAAAAAGAGTGCACAGAAGATGACTGCAGTCAGTAAAGAAAATTAAAGGGCTTTACAATTAAAAAAAAACCTCTATTATTCCATTGGTCCGACTGGCAACCATACCTCCTGTTTGAGGGGAATAAAAAAAAGAGGGAAATCTCGAAAATGAACTTTTAGATTTTTTTTAAGCTTGTAAAAATACTAGAGGATCTGAAGGTGTGTCTCAGCAGGTTTCGCCTGCCTGTCTAGCACCGAGACTTTTTGCGTGATCAAAGAATACATGACAGCGGACGGATCTATGCTTGTAAATATCAAACGGTTTGATCACGCTAAAAGACTTTATTGAAGTTTCCCACTTTTTAATCAAACAAAAGACATCCACCTCCAGTAGCCAGAAAAAAAAGAGGTCTGGTTTGATATTAGAATTTTAAAAAGTACTAAATGTAACTTACGGATAAGGGGTTTTCTTCCCATAATATGGGTCTTCCATTAATGTCATGTTTGTAGGCTGAGAGGAAACTACAACTCGCATTATTTTACCATAGCACTATATAAAAAGGGTTTGATTACACCAATATTAATAAATCCACAACAAGCCACAACAAATAATCCATGTTCACATACGCAAGCTTTTAAGACAGAATTAAAAGCATAATAATGAAATGAATACATCACTGACATTTTTTTAATTTTTTCCTGCTTTGTGGTGAAATCCACAGCATCAAAATCTGCAACTAGCCTGTGGAGAGGTTTTCTATACTATTTCTGTCGCTTAGTATGATAATTTACCCCCCTCAAAAGTCAAAAATGCCATTCTGAATGAACCCATGGAGCTCTGCATAAAAAGAGCCAATAATTTACAGTAAGATGATAAGAGTGTAATATTGCTTTAATATAATGCATTAATGAAAATTACCATTGCAAGATAGATAAGACTTAATAATATAACTCTCATTGTACTCTGGAGTTGGAGGCTTTGCTAAGTTATATGTTAGTGCTGCGCGGCTGGCGTGAATCCTGACACAATTTCGAAGTCTCGCTGTTCCCAATGCCACCGGAGCCTGAATTTATTTTCCTTGGGAAAAAACAGGAAGGCACTTTCCTGCTCTGTCAAGTATTAGCTGTGCTCCTCTGCCAGCTTCTGCCTGCTGTGGAGTTCACAGAAATGTGTTTTCATTATTTTTAATGCAATTTAATACTTTTATTTTCATCCCACTGTATACTTAGAGCTAATTAGCTTTTTAAAAAAAGTCACTGTGCCTTTTTTTTATTCTTTATTCTTTAACATACTGACATTTTTAAAATGGACAATTGGATGGTACAGGGAATGACAGATTAATTTCTTGCCCTTATTTTTATGCCGGGGCAGCTCAGTGTTGCTCTGTAGCGTTCCTGCCGCTTCTGCAAGCATCTTATACTTGCAAGGGTGAGGGCTTATACTTCTGTTTGTTAAATGGCAGCTTGTTTATCTGTGCTAATTGCCAGGAAGAAAACTAAACTCCTTTCCTCTCTGCGGACCACTATTTATAGTTAGGAAGAGCAGCCCTGCACATATGCAGGGGGGTATTATTAAAGTGAATGAGGCTAACATGCGGTTACAGCAATCTCTTCTGCCAGAAGTGAGGAAATTATTTTGTTGATGTAAGAAGGCTGGATGAGCACACAGTGTGTGTTTTAAACCCAAAATGTGATTTCAAAGGGGGGGGGGGAAGCTTTTAGGCAGATCCATGGAAAAAAAAAGATAATTTTTAACAACGTGGAGTTTGATATCAACATTTTGTGCGCACCTTTGGCAAATGTTTTTTCAGTATTACTGGAGATGCACAAAACTGCAATTTGTTCTCCAAAAGTGTTAAAGGCTGCTATGAGGGGAGCCAAGGAGGAGAGGTGATTTATCCCAATCTCCCCTTCTCTGACCAAATCTCTCTGGATGATGATTACTAGTCTGCATTATCCCATGGACCCTTTTGGGTTTGGTTTCTTAGTTGCCCAGAAAGTTTTTCTCTACAAGTCCCCGAACCACAAATCTTGCCGTCCCTTTTGGAGGAAGGACATAGTGTTCAAAATAATTTATTACTTGATGTGACTGCTCTTCTGGTATGACAGAAAGTAGCTCCATAACACCAGATATGACAAATAAGAAATATCTGTAAAAAATCATACCTATTCCGGAAAGTTTATTCTTTGGAAATTCTTTGTCCACATAGATTAGAGAGAGAAATTTGTGTTGTTACCGATGGAGTTCTCAATGCTTTTTTTAATAAGTATTAAAAATGCACTGAAGTTTCGAAGTACACAAACTTATTTTTATGAACTTCTAGTGAGTTAGTTTTTGCTAACTTCTAGTGCTTTTTACAGGGTCTGTTTCTTATATCCGAAATAATGATTACAGCCTTTAAATCTCAAAACCACACACCAATATTTACAAGCGTTGATTCTGAGATCAATATTTTCATGCATTTTGTATCACTAGAGGCAGCACGTTGAGAAAGGATAATCCAACATAATTTATAACCTCACAGTATTTAGTGCCTTAAGTGATGTGCTTTTTAGATTCAGAAATTAATCGAAAAGTTTTTTTTAAAAAAAAACCACTGAAAACAAGGGTGACAAATAGAGGAATGAAGAAGTATTTAAAATAAGCCATAACTAATTTTTGGAAGCATTTTCTTTCTTTGTCAGGATTAAAAAGAGGACTTACTTATCTGAAACTTTATAGTTTACAGAGACAGGAAATATTTTTCAAATACATCGTCTCTAGCAGATGATGGCGGTGGGCTGGGCAGCTCTTCTAAGGACAACTCTTCTCTGATGGCAATGAAGAGTTCATCTAAAAATGAACAGCACGTTTCCAAACCTGTACTCTCATGGCTCACAGTTCAGTTTAGTGGCCATAATTAGCAATTAAACTGCAGAAACAAATGCCTATATTTTGTTGCAAGAGGGTTAGTTTCATTTCTGACTTGGAAATGACAGCACAGACACAGAAAGAGCAAAAAATCATGTAACACCAGGAGGAAAACATGCCGTGTTAGCTGGGATGCTCAAATTATGCTGCATTAATATGCACAAAAGAATTAAAAGCCTTTAAAAGAAGGGATGTTTTCTAAAAAACAATGTAGTGTCATTGCTTATTCAACAACAGCCTACTTCTCCTCCAAAGCAGTACGCTGGGTTTGAAAAAAAAACCCAACCCCACACCGCTGTAGAGAGAGCACATGTTACATCAGACACAGTACCTGATTTTTCACTGCACAGCTTGTCAGCTAGATAGTCTGCCTCTTGGGCGATAACTGAGAATATTTCATCTTCATACTCCTCTATGGTGCTTTCCCACTGTAAGGATGAAAAAAAGGAGGATACTCATACTATGTTGTTCGGGCTTTTTTTAGCTAGAAATAAGCAAGGCGGTTGCGATGCTGCAGCGAGGAGACCCTGGCTCTCTCTGCTCTCCCTGCCCTATGCAGCACGGGGATGAATGAGGGCTGTCTGAGAATTAATGCTATCAAATATTATTTAAACTTTATGCCCGGCCTCATTGTTGTTGCAAAACCACATTCACGGGTTGAGAGGGAAAGCCCCTCCAAAAGGCTTTTTACTCAGTTAGGGACCCCCTCCCCACCCTCCTTTCAACATGGACTCAGGGAGGAGGCACTGGAAATTTAAATAAAACAAGCCCATTTTGTATTCTGATATTAGTGGTCAGGATGTGCAATAAATACAGCTCCCTGACTGTGCAGACACGGCTCTGATTTCACTACCAATAGAGCAGTCTATAGCAATGAGCTGCCGAGCCCTTCCCTGCCCCAGTATTTAGGGAGCTGCTGGTAATTCACCTCGGTACCACAAAATGGGTCTCTGACCCCCTGGGAAGAGTGGAGGAGCGTGGGTCCGAGGGAGTGCACCACCCAGACTGGCGCTTGGCACCTTTTAGGAAGCCTGGATGCATACGAAGAAGGATTTCCTGTCCCCAAAACTCCAGACATAAACAAGGGGAAGCCTTTTAACATGGGTGGAGAGAAAAGATACTGAAATTAAATCTGCTTGCTGGAAGTTGAGCTTTGTAAACACACAAAAAGGGCCCTTTCTGTCCTTTGCTAAAAAAATCCAACCAGTATCTGCCAGGACAAGCCATAACCCGGAGCTGCCACTGACAGAGGCAGAGCTGCTGCCTGCTCCCCTCTACGGGAGCTCCTCTCATCTCCTCCCCCAT